AGGTGACTCACTGATTTGATGGAAAACAATCCTTACTCTACATTCCCGATATTGGTTGCAGCTTAATCAGTCTCTTTCTTTTCATTCCTATTCCAAGAAATATAGGAGATGAGACAGTGAAGAATTAAGTCACTCATGAACAAGTCTGCACTTGAGCTGATTCAGCTTTGGTTGTTATCCAGTTGCGTTTTTAATTTCAAACAATATTGTTATTGTGAAACGATAAGTGCCTAAAAAATATACACACAAGTTACCTTTATTAATATCCTATATCTGCACAACACTACTTTGTGTCGGATCAATGGTTTGTTTACATGCCAGCTGGTATGCGTGTGAAAAAAAAGTAATTTAAACTGATAAGTGAACAACTGTTGTTCATCACCCATTGGTTGTAACAGCAACTTGTGTTTTTGTGTGTGGGCTGTTAAAATGAAACTCAAGTGAAAACTGGAATTCAATAGCTCATTAAATTGATTATATGACTGAAAATTGTTAATTGTACTATATTTATTCTATCAGTGAATTTGTTTAAAATCGACTAACGTCAACTAAAATTAAATAGTTCTCTTTCTCTCTTAAGATTGTGATGAAATTTTATAGGAGTATTACTTTCTTTTATTTCTTGTATTCCAATTTGGAATATGTGGCTTCATCTTTTATGCTTCAGTAGTCGTAGTTTTGTTCTTACAAAATGGGTTTACTAGGCTCACACCCAACCTTCCCTTATTTCTCAGCCTACTACAGGTGTGGAGTACGTAACGATATGATTGTACACTTCTTTGTTAGATGTTGAAATTAGAGACATTATACATGACTTTTGTTTAAAACGATTCACGTAGAAGTATAGATAACCTCCGGGTAGAATCTAAAAAGCAGTGTACTTTTGTTTGCTTCGTTTTCTCACTGGTTTATACTGTCAACTTGTTTCACTCATAACTGTATCGTATACTTTGGATTTTTGCAGGAACCTCTTATCCTTATCCGAAGATTATTCTACAACCGGTATACAGCTTCTACCAGTTCACATGACTCTAGCAGTGAACGCTTCTATGGAATAAATTAATAATTTGTAGCCGTGGTCTTTAACTGTATATTCAAGTAACCGTTTAATTAATATAACTCATTACTGTATTTTTTATAACATATTGTTACACTATCATCGCATTAACTTGGATTTTTATTCACATACTTGTTATGTTTCTACGTGACTGGCTTAAACTAACTGTCGTGGATTTCATTGACTGATGAAGCCATGTTTTGATTTGACCACCACTGGCTCTTTTTCAGTCTGATGCATCCTATGTCAACAGTCGACATTGCTCGTCGACGAAGGCGATCGATGGCTAGACATGCAAGCGCAACATATGTCTTAACCATGTCAATCGATGGAACTTCACAGTCTCGTCAACCAACTTCCTTTCCTTACACAGTACTCGACCGAGGCCCAACATCGAAATTGTTCACCTTATTATACCACTTCACACAGGAGACAGAACGCAATCGCCTATGATCAAAAACAGATAGCCAGCCCTTTTCATGTTTTCTACTTTCAATGGCCGTGTCCCACAGCCATAAAGGAGGACGGAGCGGACTGCTGGGAAGTTCACACGCCCCTCAATCGACAGCCGGATATCACGTCTACGCCAGAGACGGAGTAAACTGGCAAATACGGAATTAGCCCTTTGCATCCGTGCTGAGATTTCGTCTGCGATCCACCCATTGGGGCTGGTGCAACTACGCAAATAAGTGAAGCAGTCAGCGTGCTCTACCATTTCACTCCCTATTTCTAAGCTAGGAGTCAGTGCAGTTCAGTCGTGTAGCATCCACGCGAAAGTGAGATTAATCGTATGTAGATTACAGAAGGTCCTGAGGATCTGGAAGATGATAAATGTTGAATAAGAATACACCAGTGTGAACAAGGTCTACGTTTATTGATTCTTAGTGTCCGGAGGTCACCACCCACTTCACCAAAGTGCTCGTCGAGCAACGTCGTTATTCCGCATGCATAACACATATGGGTCGATGACAATCGACTTTTCTCCATATCCCAACACTACATCCAACCTATATTATCGCTTCATTTAACAATAGCAACTGACCTAAAACCTTTGACATCTTTATACAAAGCGGATTCAGTGGCCATTAATAGACGGTAGAGTAGCACTAAACGATTGTGATATACACATCCTTTGGTGGGTAAACGGATATTACGTTTGTACCAAAGATGAAGCACATCTGCCGATGCCATACAAAACCTTAGTATCCGTGGTAAGATTTTGTCAGCAAATAGTACAGTAGGGTTGACGAAGATTTCCCTGATAAGTGGTGTCCAACTACTTCACTATCTAATCATTTCATATTTTCTACAATTGGAAAAGCATGTGGAAGCAATAAACTGAGGTTCGAACAATTATCCAAGACTTCACGGAATAGTTTTCTCTTAGTTCCGTCTACATTAATTTACTTGTTTGCAATTGAGGGAATACACGGTGGTCAGGCCGAAACATTAATCCAAGTGAACATAAGACGGAAGTGATGAAAGTAACCAACCAACAACAACCAGCACCAATCGCTATAAACAAAATAAATTTAAGAGACATTTCTTTCACTTATCAAGGAAGCATTTTCCAGCTACAGGCGGAGCAGATGACTTAGTCACAACCATAACCGGAAGGGCTAGACTCACCTTCATTACTCTGAAATTAGATTGGGAATCTGTACTCAACAGCATACAGAACAAGATTTGGGTTTTCACCAAGTAGTAAGTCATTTCTTCTATATGGGTCAGGAACTTGCACCACGCGTCAAGGAAAGCATTTTCAACAGTTAGTTGAAAACGTTTATCAACAGCTACTTCCGCTGAATCCATCATGAACACCACATGGCCGGAGAGAATGAGTAACAAGGAATAAACCAAGAAGCTGGTGCCCAACAAATATGCAGATGAAAATGAGGGTGGAGTGAGCACACGCCGAGATCGTCGGATGACATCACGCGTCAGGCCTTCGAGTGGAAACCGAACGGGAAAGAAGGAATGGGGTGACATGGAGATGGTGTGCAGAGGAGGTTGTAGATTATGGGCAATCGTGGGGCCATTCAGAGAGGACCGCAGAAAATAGGACAAAACCGAGATGTTTTGTTAAAGAACCATTCGAATCCAAAGGAATAATAATGATAGCAAAGATGAATAGTCGAAGTTTTAAGTGTTGCAACTTGCTGCCACACTCACGTTGCCCCAAACCAAAATGTAACACTAAGTATTTCTCACTCTACATATACATCGCATGTTGGGATCAGTGCGCTATCGGGTAGGGTACATGGTTGAATGGTCTAGGAGCTTGCTTTATAACATGAATATCCTGGGTTCAAACCACGTTGAGTGCGTACTACCGAGGAGTGCCAGACTAGGAGGAAACAGCTACCCAGCACTCCCAATGGTTCTTTAACTGATGTCAACTCGCTAACGTTGCAGCCACCCTACCAAAGCTGTGATATTCGCTGACTACTACCACCAGGTTAGTTTCAACCTAGATGTGAATTGCTACGAAACAAAAAGTGGGTATTTCGCGTTCCAGGCCCACATTGATTAAAATACGACTGCTAAACCCTTCGATTAAATACATATAGCCAAGCGATGCTGGGGACATCACTCGTACCAAATTCCCAAGAAACTTCATGAACTCGTTCATGAAGCCGGCTCATCCTCCCGTAGGAGATAGCCGAAGTAAAGTAAGTAAGTATATAGCCAAGTCACGAAGAACAAGACATCATCCAATACACTTCATATATGAACAACAGCCTATAAGGTGCAAAACGACTAGAATCCACACATTGTTTGACATCTATTCAAGTACAGCAGAGACAAGAAAGGCAGTAGTGTGAGGTTAAGTACTTTTCGCCATACTAACAGATTTTTATTATGACTTCACAAAATATGATAAGTTAAAATAAGTTCCATTTCCAGTTATAATAACTTCAGACAAGTCATAGCGAGATAATCTAATCAGACCACATAAACACTCAAACTAATTAACATTAAAGAACTACGATTTAAGTTACCACGGCTTGGTAATCACGAGTCGACAATACATCACGATTCAGTTAATCAAGACCTGGAATTAATATTAATACAGACTAGGTAATTTTCTTAGTGATATAACTCAAGGATGCAAGACACCTAGTGTGTATATTTTCAACCAGTTCGTGACTCGGCTGGGCATATACACAGCCGTTAGCGCCATTGTCAAGTGCCACAAACAAGTATGCTGTTTGGAGCAGCCTTGCCTGATCTCAATAACATTAAGTACTTAACAGGGACATGGTTTGTTCATACAACTTGAAAATGAATCGAGGTGTGGTGGTTCGTTCACGTTGCCAGTTACCATATGCTTTAGAGCATCCACTTATCGTGAATAGTTGAGCAATCGTCATTCAACAAAACAATCGAAGTTAAGGATGAATTTCAAATGCTTACAAAAGGACTTTAACTGGTAAGAAACTTGTCAGTGCATGTCGACACATGACTGCGACAACCTAGTACAGGTCAGGTGACGAGAACATGCAGGTTACTCAAGATCTCAGATTTCATCTGTTCACCCAACAACCTCTTAAATACCATCAGCACTACCAGTAGAACAGAAAATGGCATAACCTAGTGAAGAGGTTAATGAGATGGATCTAAGGTTAATTCACTAACGTTACCACCTACCAAGTGATTGACGTCGATAGGGCGTACTGCAGTGATGCTGCAAATGGGCTCCGCAAGCCCGTTTCTAGCCTTTGAATCAGCAATGACAACTCAAATATGGTATCTTGAGCATTAACAGTAAAATAATTCAAGCCGTTAAATGATCGTTTATTGAAACTTTTAAGAAGCCTTCACGTTGGAGTTAGGACCTCTCCTACGGCCACCTGGTTGCTGCACAACTGCGACAAACCGTTTGTTGTACTGCATCCTACGTTTCGCTCTACCGCGTGGCTGCTTCTTTTTCTCCTGTTTCTCAACTTTCGGTGTCTGCCCACGGACTTTTCCAGCACGAGCGAGAGAACCGTGTACCTTACCTAGAAAGCTGTACATTTGTATGATAAGTACTCACCTCCAAGCACAGGAACAATAACATCAATACATGCATCACCCGAAAGAGATGCCAAAAGTTGATTATCATCGATTAGTGAACCACCATTGTATAGCTGAAGGTTATCCAGAGGTAACTTATCCTCATTTGCCAGTAAAATCTTAAGATTTGCTGCAGTAGGACAATTATCCGTATTAATAACACGTGTATCAAACGATTTAACAATCAGTTGCATGGTACTCAAAAGCTACTTCGCACGCCAAAAACGTCACTGTTCAACTGCGCGCTAAAGGCACACTTCAATAAACTAAACGTCTAGTTTCAATTCTCAGCTTCAAGCTAAAATTTTGGTGTTCTACCCAATGGAAATTCAGTATTGCTTTGTATTAACTAACAGAAGGCGGTGCGCCCATTTGTCTTATAGTAGAAATCCACTAGGTCCATATTCGACATAAGGAGCTGATTTTCACACATACACAGGATTTGCAGATCGCTGTTAGATTTATGGGGTTACCTGACAAGTAGTCACTCCTGCTAGTTATGTCTCTTCATGAAGTCCCTTAGTTTTTTTACTTTATTTGCAATGCTAAGTGATCAAATTATTCGTTTTAGTTCTGTTTCATTTTGGTTGCTACCCGTAGTCACGATGATAACCCTTATGATGCATTTCTCATACGCCCGAATGATGTTTGCGTCCATTAGAATACCACTTTTTTGGCAAGACAAAATCCGTCCTCACAACATACGTGGGTTTATTTGCGCAAATATATGGGAAAGTGATGACTTTCCTTGATTACACATATGCTTTTGACTCTGTACCTAGAGGCCTTTTGTTAAACAAGCTTAGCCTTACACAAACTGAGTCCTGGGCTATCAACTGGCTGCACTCTTACTTCTCCAATAGGATGCAGTACACGGTATATAATGGTGTAGCTTCCTCTCCTTTGCTTACTGAAGCTGGTGTTCCTCAGGGTGCTGTTCTCTCGCCGTTTCTCTTTTCCTTCTTCTTACATGACTTACCTCTCTCAGATGAAATCAACTTCGTCAAATATGCAGACGACCTGACTGTTTCGCTTCCCGTTAAGTCTCAGTCAGACTGCTTCAAATTAAATAGCTTCCTGTCGGACATCAGTCAATGGTCTAAACTAAATGGCCTAACGCTGAATCCCTCAAAATGCCAGACTGTCGACTTCTCCTTTAGGCATAAACGAGATCTACAAACACTAGTAAGCACTCATGATGCCTGTAGAATTGAGGGGACTATAATTGAAACAAAGTCTAATGCAAAATACCTCGGATTAGTTATATCTTCCGACCTTACCTGGTCATCTCATATCCAAATGATTTCCAAGAAAGTGTTTCGTCTAACCTACTACATTAAGAAACTCAGACTAACTGGAGTCCCTCAACCTCTGCTTTCACAATTTGTCAACTCTCGTATCCTACCTATTCTACTTTACTGTTCCCCGTTAGTCTTTCCTGGGTTACTGAAAAAGGATTATACCATCCTGAGAAGGATGTTGAAGGTAGTTAGCAGGACTAGCGGTGTAAAACTCAGTCAGCTCGTCACAACATTAGTGGATAAGCATCTGAATACATGTGAGAAATGGTCTAAAACCATACTCTCTGACCCCCAACACCCCCTCTATTCCCAACTCTCTCCTTGCATCTCATCAGGAAGAACCAGAAATCAGTACAAAATAATATATGCTCGTACAACCAAGTATAGGAACTCAACGATACCATATTTGGCCCATGTTCTAAGTGACAGAGATAATGTTAAGCGTGAAACCTATGACTTGCTTTATTGTTAATAACATAATCTTGGCCCTTGTTATTTCCCCTTATACTCTCTTATTTGTACTCTATAGTGAACAACCTTCTTAAACATACTTAGCTGCTTAAAATTATTATCGTTGGCTTACTTTTTTGCACTTTTACTCTATTCCTTCTTTTGTATATCTACTGGGTCCGACTATATTATCACTATGATATTAATAAAAATTGTCCCGTCATTAACCATCATGTAACATTAGTTTTGTGGTTGTTCTTTGTTCGGCACTATTTAACTGACAATCTTGTTTGTTATTGCCACTATCACCATCTTAAAAAAATTTTGTATTATGCATGATTCCTCACACTACCACTACAAACACCGCATTAGTGCTGACAATAAAAAAAACACAACCTGAAATGTTTATCTTATGATTGTTTGTGTTGTTCAATCAAATTAACTGACCATCTTGGCTTTAAAGATTTTTAAGAACATCTCATAATTTCTTGTATGATTATAGCTGTTACTGTCCACCACGCATACACATATCGTAGCTTCCACTAACCAATACTGAAATATTTTTTTCATTATTTGTGTTTACCTTCCTTTTTACTTGGTATTTTTATTTGGATTTTTTTTCTTATGTTTTTTTTGTTATTTCTGTGTTCCTTTTTTTTGTTTTCTTGTGTTTTTTTTATATTACTCCTTTTAAATTTTTGATGAAATTAGATGCAGTATTGTAGATATATGCTGAAAATTCCACACTGTACCACAAGTACTGTTTCTGGAATAAAGCGAAATTGTTATTGTTATAGGCTCTTTAGTGGGTTACTAAAAGTCAAACAGCAACTTCTTTGTCCCATTGGGGCGATACATTTTACATCCTTTTCTCCCACTGGCGATATTCAAAATGCCAGTTCATCTTTCGTATGAGGAGGATTATTTGTGGTGAATTTTAACCTCCATATATGGTGGTGTCTGTTAAGCATCTAGAGAAGTCATTAGTCGGTTTTGAATGTCACCATTACTATTTCACTTCAAAAATAAAGAGAAAACTTTTAGCTCAGATGGGCCTAATCGACGCATTCATGTTTTTGAGTCTATTTGTCCAATAAAGGAGACTTCAGAAATAGTTGTTACTGCTTATGTCTGTGGTGAAGATGTCTATAGATATAATGAACTCCAGCTTAACGAATAAAATTTCGTCAAATTGTAGTTTGGGTCTCAATTTCACATTTAGAACTTATGTTTTCCCCTTTTTTAGGGCAAGCGACGCTCTCTTCCCAGTTCTTCTGGAAGCCTATTTCAGAAGGTGAAGAATTTTTATGACTACCGGTATTCCAAGGCGATTTAGTTTGTCCCTTGTCTTTTTCTCCTACCACTATGTACCCTGAGGTGTTCCAGAGAGAATAAAATCGTAAGAGAAAATATTTTATGCCTACAGTCCTCTCCTAAATATTCATATACTGTAATTAGATCTCTCTACCCACGATATGATAAGGAGTTGAAACTCAGTTACTTCATACGTTTTAATGTACCTGGTGTCATATGTACGGCCACATATTTCTAACTTTTTAAAGTATCGGTGAGTCACTTTTAAGGTGCTTCTGTAACTCAGCCTTCCAGGTTGGACTGAACGAAGAGGTATATAGTACAGTGGAGTTACCGCTGGTTATTCCGCTTATGGCTTAAAGAGTTTTGAAACCGTAAACTACTATTGAATTTTAGTGTTGTAGCCTTAAGTTGTGACTTATTATTACTCCTGGATGAGATTATATCATACGTAAATGATGAGGTATGTGATACGGTATATGCTGACATTTGTTATGCGCATTGGCATCCACTTAGCAAGTTGATTAGAAACACATTCTCTAGGTAAAACAGGTTTTGATTTAATAATTTATTTCTGAGACAGAAACACATGTACACTGATTATACATATATAATAATTTAAATTTAGATTAAACACTGATTTGTGTGAGAGAAACATTTGAAAAGAAATGTACAAATAAATAAATGGATAATTTTTTAAATCTACTTTCGACCGAATAAGTTATAAGATAGTGTCAAATCTAAGTTTTTAGTGAAAAATATACGGCGTGTTAATTTCACGCCAGAATTATTAATCATGATTTACCATTATTTCCTTTGATTCCTCCGACTATATAATATCACTGAATTGTCACACTTTCTGCTACACAAAGTATCATAATTAATTAATATAGTCATTTGCATTATTATTTTATTTATTATTATATCCTTTAACTTCTAGAGGAACATAGGGCTCCACCCGCACGTCTCAGTTGCGTTCGGTTTTCTGCCAATTTTTCTACCCCTCTCCGAGTCTGCCCACATGCTTTCATCTCCTCTTCACATGACCTCCTCCAAGTCACCCCACCGTCGAACGACCAACTCTCCGCTTCCCTTTCGGGTTCCACTCGAGGGCTTGTCTAGTGATGTCACTCACTTGATGGTTTTTTTCAGAGTATGGCCAATCCCTCTCCATTTCTTCCTGCCTATCTGTTTCACAATCGGTTCCTGGTTGGTTCGCTCCCAGCGTTTCCTACTGCTGATCTTTTCTGGCCGGTCATCTGATCTTGAGTGTTATTGAGCGAAGACAGCTGTTGATGAAGGTCTGAATTTTGTTTGACATGCTCTTTATGACGCGCAATGCAAGTCTCTGATCCGTGTGGTAAGTAGCACTGACTTCACATTGGAGTTGAAAATCCGGATCTTATTTTTGATGCTGATTGCTGTTGACCTCCACACAGATTTGAGAGTAATGAAAGCTTGTCTCGCTTTTCCGATTCTGGCTTTGATGTCCTCGTCAGTTCCGCCTGTAGTTGAGACGATGCTTCCCAGGTAGGTGAAGGAGGTTGTTTCTTTCAGGTTCCTCCCATTTATGCTGGCTGATTGTTGTCTGTTCTTGTTGTTGTTGCTGTTGGTGTTGGCCAGGAATCTTCATCACCTCTGTTTCATCTATGTTCACCTGAAGTCCTATCTTCTCTGGATGTTTCTTCCTCTTCCAACTTGTTGCTTTTCACTTGCACATCTTCCAGCTTGTGGGAAATCAGACATATATCATCGGCGAAATCCAGATCCTCCAAGTTTTTTGCGTGAGTCCATTTTATGTCTGTTTTCTCATTGCCCGTTGTCTGTCGCATTATCCAATCTACTGCAATCAGGAAGATCATTGGCGATAGTAGACACCCTTGCCTCACTCCCGTCCTGACTTCGAAGGATTCCATAAGTTTCCCATTGTGGATTACTTGGCATGCAGCATTGTCATATAACTGTTGGATGAGATGTATAATTGTTGTTGGCACCCGCACTAGCGAGGTAGTTTCCATCGACGCTGAACTATCGAATGCCTTTTCAAATTCGATGAAGTTGAGATAGAGAGGTGACTCTCATTCCAGGCTTTGTTCAGTGATGATCCGTAGAGTGGCGATTTGTTTCTC